TCCCGAAGTCTGCTAGGTTGCACTCGCCCGTCCCAGATCCAGGAGGCGTATTTGAGCACAATGTCCGTGGTGGCGTTATATATGGGGTCATAACATTCATCCCGATGAGATATGAGATACGCTGTTACCCCAACCATCGTCTTACCTGGAGCACCATTTAGGACTGCAGCACAATGTCGCAACTCACGAAGAGCGCTGTCGCTAACTCCAGCAACTGCACCGCCATGCGCCACTGATGGAAGGGCGCCCGTGCGCCACAAGCTGGTAGCACTCCGCCCCACGGCGGACTTCAACATGCGAAAACGATGCTTGCGCTCTCGAAACTGCACCAACCTACGCTTCTCCATATGCCGAAGAACTCGAGGTCCTGTGAGCTCGTGTCCCAGATTCCTCATGTGGGCCCTGTACGGGATCTTCAAGGTTCCCAGGTGCCTCTTGAGCTGTCCCCAAACCTTTTGGTTCCCAGGGATACATCCAGACTTCGGCGGCTTCAGGACCATCCCAAGATCTCCTGCATCCGACGTAAACGCCTTGGCCGCTCGGGCCAGGTTGGACACCTCCCTCAATACGGGCGACACGTACTGCAGACCCACATCGTCCATGAGCGTGCGTGGCGTGATAGTAGGTGCAATACTGGCCGTGCGCTGGACCGCTCGGTACGTGAGGAGGTATAGAAGGTACGTGGCGTGCGTGCAGCCCGCAAGAATACCCTGATGGGCCACCAAGGGCCTAGATACAGACCCAAAACACTTGATCCTTCTCGGCTGGCGGTAGGAGCCCAGGAGCAACCACAGGAGCCTCAGCGGGTACCTGAGCTCTCTAGCTTCTCGGAGAAGTGCACTGTGACTGACCATATCGAAGCACTTGGTCATGTCCAAGAGAATGGTGCATGTGTGCTCACCTAAAAGTTCTCCTATCTCCTGGCTCAGGTTGTGGTGGAAGGCTGAATCGGTCGAAGTCTGCCCAGCCCTTGACCCCCACATATGCTCGCACCTATGCGCCTCTTGCCACTCCGCCGAAAGCGGCCGACGTAGCTTTCCCCACAACCTGACGAAAGTATTGCTGAGGACGATCAACCTAGTGTCCCCGTCAGGCTTGGGCAGGCGAACAAGCTCGCTGTAGAGCCTGTCCGTGGGCCAGGCCAGCCAACTCTCAAACAGCATGAACATATCGGCCAGGCTCTGCAAGGCCTGGTCGGACAACACATCGAGCGTGCGTGGCGCGATCCTCGTCTGGCCCGAGGCCGTCTTCAACGGAAAACTCCTGATGGCTCCACGCACCTGCGATGCAGACAAAGGCGGAAGCAAAGGCCACTGAGCATGATCGACAGGCAGCGACAGAGAACATGCACCGTGGTAAGTCCAAACGTCCTTCCACTTGTCGAGCGTGCGGTCAGCCATCTGGTATGGCTGAGCGTCGTGGGAGTAGGCAAGCACCTCCTGTCGAGCCCGAACTTTGGAGGACGAATGCGCCCGAGATGCTCCTCCCAGGAAGGCTTCTTTGGCCCACTGCCTCCAGGCCCTCTCTGACGCTCTTTGTGCCGTTCTCAAATGATGATCAGCTCTGGCAATGATTGCCTTGGCTACGTCCTCAAAGTCAGCCTCGACCAAGCCAGTCAGCCCTCGCCGAAAGAAGCCTGCGAAGGCAGCATCCAAAACACACAGCACATGCTCTGACCGAGCCGCGCGTCTATAAAAGGCAGCCACCTCGTTGAAAGCCACGACGACCTTAGTGTACTGCAGCGGCGTGATGTCGCACACGGCAGCACAGAGCTTGAGGCGCTCGATGTACCTCGCCAGCCGCTTCTTCTCAGCCACAAGGTGCTGGGCCCATCGCTTCGCCGTGGCCCAGGCCAGCACGGTCGGCTCCTTGTAGGTACGCCTGCGTGGCGGCTGCCATGACAAGTGCTGCCACTTGAACTGCGGCGGCCCCTCGCGTCCGATGTACTGCATGGCCTTAGCGCCCACGCAGTCGTAACGCCCTGCCAGCTCGTAGTCCACCCCTCGCAACACGGAGTCCCAGAGCGGGCTCAGATCGTCGGCACAGCTGACCCGTTGGAACTCTGTCTGAAGTCTATGCCACGGGTAGGGATATCTAGCACAGCCAACTGGCGGCACCACCGCAAAGGGACGTGGCTCCACAGGGACACGGCACCACGTGGGGCGATCCTCGCCCATGAGCTGCAGCTCCACAGGGAAATGCGGCGGCGGCACGACCGTGGAGTCATACTGGACCTCTGGCTTGCCCTTGATGCGAGACGCTAAATTGGCACAGACGACGAAATAGTCTATGGTGCTCTTGCCCTCATCGGTGATGCAGGTGTGCTGGTCGGGCACGTAGTGGACGGCTGCCATGGTCTCGACCCAGTTGCGAACATTGAGCGCATCGATGTCGGAGTTCCAGTCGCCACCTAGGATCCAGTCGAGGCCCCGTGAGTTCCATGCTGCAACTCTCTGTGCCAAGGCCCACAACACCTCAATGTTCTCGCCCGATATGCCAATGGACGTGACAAGATACACACTGGCGACTATGATGCCGCCAGCCACTCCCCAGTTAATCTGTGCACAGACTGCTCGTCCTGGGTAGATAATGTGCCCATCATCAGGTGGGGCTGTGACCATGATGTATGTCGGCACAAGTACAGCGACCCCTCCGAAGTTGGACGTAGCTGAGTCACCCGTAGAGGGCGACGGGGCCCATAGCCCGTGCCATCCAGCATCCAAGGCCCTGGCCTGAAACTCGCCAAGCCTAGAGTCGGTAATCCTCAACTCTTGTGCCAGCAAGATGGTTCCCCGATAGGCAGCCAAAAAGTCAAAGAGAGGGCCGTAGCTCGTAGCATTCACCGTTGTGATGAGGCCCTTGAGCTGCGGCTGAGATACTGCATGCATTGGCTGCACCTTCGCCTCCGTGCTCCCTGGCGGCAAAGGCGAGGTAGGTGCAGCGCGTTCTTGATTTGATTTCTCGAAGCGTAATCGGGAAGAAGGTGGGGACGAAGATGGCGCTTCATGAAATGCGCCTTCACACAGATCTGCTTCCATGTCAGGCTCAACGTCCTCAAAGAAGTCATGATCGTCATCCAAAGTAGCACGCGCTGGGCCGCTCTGGCCCGGTGGGGCCCCTGGCAGTCGGTACTCTCTGCCGCCTGGATTCTCCGAGGGCAAGGGCGGTGAGCGGTGCGTGCCGTCCGAAGACGGTCGGTGCCCTCTGCCGCCACTCCCCGAAGGTGAGGTCGGTGAGCAGTGCGTGCTGCCAGGGGCCAACCGCGTAGGCGTAGACGGAGTAGCCCTCTGTGATGCCGTGGTCGCCCCATACGGAGCTGCAGGCTCAACCGAAGTAGGCGAGGCCGCCGTCAGGGTCGGAGCTGTCCCCCACCCCGAGGAGCGGGCCAGTGGGGGGAATAATGTAGGCGCCGTAGTGCCAGCCGAGGTCATGGAACTAGACGCCGATGTGGGCAGGGGGGTGTGACGATGAGGGGCTGAATCCCTCTCCCCCCTGCCCAGAATGCTAGCCGCCGTCGAAGATGACTGAGGCGGACTCTCGACATGTTGCGCTGATGTAGAGCTGACCATGGTGACAAAGAGCCAAAGCAACAGCATATCAAGCCG